TATTTACTAAAATTTTGGTTTTGTAGATTCAGTAATACTAAATTGCTTGCTGGGTTTAGTAGCTTCTTGCATCAGCTCCTGTAACTGTCCAATTTGTTCATCACGAAAGTCATTAAGTTTTTCTTTTGAGAGGGAGGTGCCAAAACATGCTTTTTCAGTTGAATTTTGTCTATTTTCATTAGCTTGTTGCCTTAATACTGCTGCATAAACCTAGAAAAAAGACAAAGAAAAATGAAGGTTACAGACATAAAATTTAGATCTGTGTTAATTACTTACTTACTTAAGAGGGACATCAATTCTAACTCTGAGTCACCTATTTTTTGACATCACTAAATTTTCTCCATTTGCTTAAGACAAGGGAAAACATCTATGCAGGTGAGCAGGCCCCAGCCATAACCCTGCCTGGACAAGAGCAGCATGGAAGGGCAGGCACCAGCAAAGACCCTGCCCAGACACCAGCAGCTTGGGTGCACAGGCTCCAGCCAAAGGCCTACCTGGAAAACAGTTGCACAGGCACTCAAGTCCCAGCCAGAGACCTGCCCAGATACCATCCATAAGTGTACTCAGACCCCATCCAGAAGCCCACCTGGACAACAGTGGTGGCAGTGCACAAGTCCAGCCAGGGCCAAACCCAGACACCAGCAGTAATGGCTTGCAGGCCCCAGCCACAATCCTGGGTGGACAACAGTGGTACAGGTATGTAGGCCCTGGTCAGAAGATCATCCAAACAACAGCTATGCAGGCAGCCATGACCCAGCCAGAAGTGTGCCCAAATACCATAGCTAAGTGTATGCAGGCCCAAGCCAGACCCCACCCTGACAACAGGGTAGTGCAGGGATCCAGAAAGCCATTATTCTGAACCCAGGAATTAGGGCAGTGGTAAGCAATAGAGAGAAGGCCCTCTGACACTTGCTGAGAATTGACCTACTGGGTGAGCAGTCACCTCAACAAAAGCTCAGCAGGTAGCATTTGTTGAAATGAGAAGATGCACAAACAAGACTCAAAATCAGACTTCTAGATTAACAAAGGCAATGCCAAGGGAAACAAGATGGAACAATCTGAAACTCAGCCACCTGGACTCCCTGAACTGGCAAAGAAAGAGGATCTGTAAAAAATACAATCAGAAATAATTTTTCAGATAACAATGGAGATTGTGTCCAGACTGAATGACATGATTAGTAACTCTAGAGCAGACACCGATGAAAAAAGACGAGCAGGGCCAGAGGTTTAAATCAGTGGTGCCGCCGCCTGCCTCACAAGTGCAAAGTCCTGAGTTCAATCCCTGGGACAAAAAAAAAAGGAGTAGAGGATCATGATGGAATCCCAGCATAGCAAACAAATGGAATCCATAAAACAGATGCAAACAGAAATCCAGGAGATTAAAAACTCCACTGAAAGTTTACACATCAAAAGAAGCCAGTGTTCTACACTTTTTCTTTTCTTTTTGGTATCAGAGATCGAATTTGGGACCTTGTGCTTATGAGGCAGGCAGCAGCACCACTGAGCTAAATCTCTAACCCAGAAGAAGCCAATGTGAGGAAAGAATATCAGATAGAGAAGACAGGATGGCAATTAGTGACCAGAAAAAGAAATATTTCTTTAAAATACTAAGAGACCATAAGAAAGCAATCCAGTCGCTGCTCAATGATGAAAAAAAGAATAACATAAGACTAATAGAAGTCAATGAAGAAACAGGAGATAGTGCAAATGACACAAAAAAATTGTTCACAAAAGAAATGTCAGAAAACTTCCCAAGCAAGGGAAAGGAATTTGACATACAGATAAGTGAGGCATATAGGACTCCAATTAGGTAAGATTAAAAAAAAATCTACACTTAGGCATATAATAGTCAACATTCCAAAAATCCAACAGAAGAATAAAATACTACAAGCAGTTAGAGAAAAGAAACAAATCACATACAAAGGAAAAGCCCATCAGAATCACAGCAGACTTTTCAACACAAACTCTCAAGTCAAGAAGACCTTGGAGTTAAGTATTTAAAGCCCTAAAAGAAAACAACCTCCAACCCAGACTGAAGTATCCTGAAAAACTATCTTTCAAAATCAATGGAGAAATAAGACACTTTCGTGATAAACAACAACTGAGGAACTTCATGAATACCAAACCAGCACTCCAAAAAATTTTAAACAATCTTAGGAAAAGACAGTGAGGATTACAACCCCATGAAGCCCTATAAAATGAATCCAACAGGCAAGATGAGAAATTAAATGCAAAGCCAGAGAACCCAACAACAGGACAAAGTCATGACAAGGATACATCAATACATATAAATTATAACCATCAATGTCAATGGTCTCAATTCACCAATGAAGAAAAAAATAACTGGCAGAATGGGTCAAGAGCCAAGATCCAACAATAAGCTGCATGCAAGAAACACTTAATTCAAAAAGCAACTCATGGACTGAAAGTTAAAGGGTGGAAAACAATACTCATTGTGATAGGAAGACAAAAAAAAAAAAAAGCAAGAGTAGCTATCCTATTTGCAGATAAAATGGATTTCAAACCAACAATAATTAAGAGAGACAAAGAAGAAAACTACATCCTTGTGAAGGGAACAATCCAAGATGAAGAGATCACAATCATAAACATACATGCACCAAATGATAGTGCATCCAACTATATAAAAATATTAATAGACATGAAAAATCAAATGAGCACTAATACAACAGAAGAGGGGAACATAATACCCCACTGTCACAAACAGAAAGATCCACCAGACAGAAAATAAACAATAAAATAATTGAA